TGCATATGCATAGCATAAGACCGTATGTACCAATGAGCATCGAGTATTAAGTCGCCATATTGGTGTTCGATGCTTAATATTCGATGCTCATTGGTCCATACGATCTTATGCTATGCATATGCAGTTATGTCAATTTGTGTGCGATAGCCCTAACTCTACTCGAGCATCGGAAAGCAGTATTGAGTTGTCTTAAACCATAAAGATACTAGATGGTTGTGCCTATTACATTTTTCGACCCTAGTGGAACTAACTTGTACTCGATTTAACGTAAACACCCCATGTAACTTTTCCTTTAGGGCGGAAACGTGAAAAGTGAAAAGTTTCACGTGAACTCGTGATCACGTAATTCGGCTAAACGTGGAAACGTGAAACTTTTCACGTGAACTTGTTAGCTATAAAATGCGCTGGCAGAAAAGTGAAAATCTAGTGACATGATGAATACGGAATATATTATGGTACTGTTATGATGAGATACAGGAAACATAAAAATCCTAAGGTTATAGCGATGTTTTTAAGGTTATATGTTCTACAGCCGATAGATATAGCTGATTTGACCGATATTTAAATCATATAGGAATTATGTTTAGTGATTTGTGCTTTTCACGCATAGAATTACTTGATTGCTTGGGGTGTATATCAGTTGGACACGGGGCAATTGGACACAGTCCAATCACAAGTCGCTGTTCCAAGGGACCCAAATGTCTCTAATCACACGGTGCTGTGATTGGTTGTGTCCAAATGCACCGTGTCCAAGTGCACCGCTCCCGATTGCGTGAACAATAAAAAAAGTCACGTGAAATCGATAGAGCAAAAAGTGAAAACTGAAAAGTTCCGCTCGAAGTTACGTGATCGCTGCCCAGTAAATGAATGAAAGATTGAAAATATATAGTTTATGTCACGTATAGATTTTCGGGAGCGGTGCACTTGGACACGGTGCATTTGAACACAGTCAATCACAGCACCGTGTGATTAGAGACATTTGTAGGGTCCCTTGGAACAGCGACTTGTGATTGGACTGTGTCCAATTGCCCCGTGTCCAACTGATATACACCCTAGATTTTCAGTATTTGCATTAAATATTAGAATGCAGACTTTATAGTGGATTTGCTAGCATCATTACTATTATTCTAAGTTCTATATTTTGAATTATCTTTTATCGCTAAATGCGTTTCTAATAATTGCTGATAGCCAATCACTAAGCTTATAAAGCCATTTTTAGAGGTGATTTTATCAAGTTTGTTTTTTTTCGTTGCACTGTTGTACTGGTGCAATAAGCGTGAGACAAACATATATTTGTCTCACTCCAACTTATTTCAGCAGTACAGGGGTGCGTTCAGAAATCCTACTCGATTAGTAGAGTAACATTTAATTGGCCAATCAAGGAAAAAGGAATTTAAGATATATTTATTATGATTGATTTATTTAAAGCCAGCGGCACACGATGCTTGTTTCGTGCTGGATTGTTTGCTGGATGGAAATACTCTATTCTGATTGGTCCACCTTCAGTAATGCACCAATCAGAACAGAGTGGGTGTTTTTCAATTGCTTAACACATTTTGACGGGAGCGGTGCACTTGGACACGGTGCATTTGGACACAGCCAATCACAGCACCGTGTACTTATAGACATTTGTAGGGTCCCTTGGAACAGCGACTTGTGATTGGACTGTGTCCAGTTGCCCCGTGTCCAACTGCTATACACCCCATTTTGACACACACGTACACAAAACCAGTTTATTGGTTATATATTATCTAAAATATCTTGTAAGATAATATGCAACCAATAAACTAGTTTTATGTAACACAGTGTACGCAACTGGAAAGCACCCAGTATTTCCATCCAGCAAGTAATCCAGCATGAAAACAAGCATCCTGTGCCACTAGCTTAAGTAAAGCCAGTAGCACACGCTTGTTTTCATGCTGGTTTGCTTGCTGGATGGAAATACTCTGTTCTGATTGGTGCATTTCTGAAGGCAGATCAATCAGAATAGAGTATTTCCATCCAGCAAACAATCCTAGATATTACATGTTTTATGCGTTTTTATACGTATTTTACCGTATAATGTAAAACACCTTAGAAAATGCTCGGAAAACCAACCCCATACTTCTTGAAATAGTACAAGAAGTTTAGCTGTAGAGAACAAAACTTATATTATATTTAGATATATTGGGTTTGTCGCGTCGCTTGCCCCAACGTACTCCTACTCGCTCCAACGCACTCTGTTTGGTTCACGTCACTACGCGGACCAATCAGAGTGCGTTGAAGCGAGTAGGAGCACGTTGGGGCATGCGACGCGAACAAACCGGTGGGATCCAATTAACTACAATACGCTTGGACACAGATTGTAATGATTGGTTTTACCTAGTAATTCACTAGATAATTCTTTGCATCGGTTGATTGTGTCCAATCGTACCGTGATCAATCGGGACGCTCCCGAACAAACCTATTATCTATATATTATCGTTAATTTATATCTAACGGTTTTATGCTAAGAGCTAGCTTTAATATACTTAAACAGTACTTATATATATTAAAATGTAGTAGATGGGGAATAAGGAATGGGAAAAGTTACAAAAATGTATAAAAAAACATCTAAAAAGAACAAGATTCAAATTTCTAATGATAAATATAGTAATTCTTTCACGGCTGGTTTGCAATGCAAGAAGGATACTGCAATCGATTTCGACTGTGCAATGTACATTCCCAATTGCGAAACTGAGCATGTCGCAGCCGTCATGACAGCTTTCGGGCGGAGTCGGGCGCGCCTTCGGCGACAGTAACTGACGTCACGGTGCAAGATGGCTGCCGACATCGGAAATGGTGTAGCATAGACGAGGTTGGGCGGTAGGAACGAAACCTGATAGTAGGTGTGTCGGTGTTTCGGCGTCGCGCGCGATATAACATGTTAACGGGACGATGCCGTGTTGTGTCGTAGCCGCGGGCTGAACTTGGAATTTTAGTGCCGCCCAGCGCAGTGCTTGTCGTACGAATCGTATGTACGATTCAGCACCGTGTCTTCTCCGGTACCTTCACCGCTCTCTCTCTCTCTCTCTCTCTCTCTCACACACAGTCTCTCTCTTTCTCTCTATACACTCATACAATACTCTCTCTTTCCCTCCTCTACTTTTCGTTGCTGTTAATTGTAAGAAAACGTCGGGAAATTCTTTTGGTCCACGGCGAAGAAACATTTACGTAAATCTTTATTACGTACATTTTCGCAAGAGAAGTTTCACCAGCGATTGTTCGAAAATCAGAGTAGATTGACGTGCGCAAGGAACGAACTGAGTGTCGAGAAATTTGGGAGGACGAAAACGAAGTGGTTGTCTCACATATCGCGCTATTAACCGGCTTTCTTTCGAATTAAGGTAAGATATATGACAAACCATAGGCAGGTATTTAAGTCCATTCGGAAGTCGCGATTCTAAGCGTGGAATAAAAGCGAACGGCGAGATATCTAAGCTGTGTTGCTGTTACCGTCGCCACAGTCTCTACTTCACTGTGAGCTCTTCGCGAAATCGCGTTCAGCATCATTCTGAGTACACCAATTATGTTACTATTATATTACTGCACACATACACAAATTCTAAATCTATTGTACTATTATATTTACTATGACCACTCATTATGTCATTCTATAATCATTATCCTTGCTATACTAAACTACAATTAATATAACCACACAACCATTATTAATAATACTACTATTATTATTACTATTATTACTACTAATATTACTATCATATATCAATACACAATCCATCATAAATATTACTATACTATGTAATATTAATTTACTATGTTTGAATTAGTGTACGTCAAAGCAAGCAGGTCATATTTTTCAAAAGTCATTTACAAGCATGCAAATAAGACAGAAAAAGGAAGACATGCGTTGAAAGAGCAACAGAAACAGATCTTGATTGTAGCACAACAAAGAATTTCCTAAGTTTGTAAGGTTAGAAATATAGATATAGGATTCTATATTTGCTTGCACTCATTATTTTTGAACATATGTTTCGCTCAAGAATGAATGATCAATTGCACACACACTTATACCAAAAATATTGTTTATCAAAATGAAGGATATAAAAGGAAAGCAAAACGAAGAAGAAAGTGTATGTTGGAAGTCCTATCCTGAAGCCAAAAGGAGGCTGCGAGTTTATAATGGATACATTGAATAACTCTTGATTAACTGAACAATTGACTAAATGTCGGCCACTATTTATCTGAACAGATATTGAGTTAGATAGATCGATTATATCAAGTCGGACGCAAAAAAACTGCAAGTTCGATCGATCAAAGAGAAACATTGTGTCAACAAGTGGTAACGTACTTGACGTATCGTGTGCTGTGATAGGAGGGGAAGAGGGAAGCGTGCGCGCGCGCACGCGAGCGAGCGAGAGAGAGAGAGAGAGAGAGAGAGAGAGAGAGAGAGAGGGGTCGAAAATGGTAGGTAAGCAGTAATAGATCTTATCTGATGGTGTTATTTGAATTTGTGGACTGTATATTAGATCAGTGGTACATTAATATTTTAACGGTGAGAGGGGAGACTACGAAAGTTTGTATCGGGTTTATTTCGTCGTAGACCTGATCTGTCAAAATAATTTTGTAATTGGAACATTGGCGTGGATCGATCCTGCAGAGTCATTCATTCGATGATTATATTATAAAATGGATTTTCATGGATATTAGGAGCGTATGTGCTTCTTATGTTACTTGCATTGCGCAGCTGTAATGCATATTGTATGTCAACGTGATAGAACTCTGTTACGAGAATTGGGACTATCTAGAGTGTAAATTTTTAAAAGAACGAGTACCTCACGTTTTTCAAATTGGTCATTTGGTTCTTGATTTTCCATCTGTTATCATCTGATGACTTCTATAATTTCAATTATGTATTGTCTATCATATCTAAATCGCTACTGAAATACGACGAAATTTGTCTTGAGCAGTCGGCGCTAGAATCGAAGGAAATATACACACAGGAGATACATAAAGTGATTGAAATAAGTGTCACCTTTTATGATATATACATACGTGTGGCGTGTTGCCCGGGATGTGCTGCGCGTGTGCTGTTCGCCGATCCTTTTTAGTAGAGCTTCGGCAGAAGCTTTACGATTTATGTGTGAATAACAATTAATAACAACAGTAATAATAATAATAAAAACAATCGAAATATATTCGCGAGTGTCTAACGTCGACGACTGCCTTAACGCGCAAAATGTGGAATATGATGTGCGACGTGATGCCGACGATCGCGGAGGACAGCATGAGTCAGCGAAGCTCACAATTCTCCGGCGAGGATGGCAACTTTGAGCAACTAATGGTATCGATGTTGGACGAGAGAGACAAATTGATGGAGTCGATGCGCGAAGGCCAAGAGCGGTTGCAGGAGATGGAAACGCGATTAGCGGAAGTCGAGAAGGAACGGGACGCTCTTAATCGTCAACTTAACGCAAACATTCCTCAGGTATATTGACCCTTTATTTATTTCTTTGCGATAATCTGTACTAAAGCGTGTAGCGTAGAAATCTACATTCTGTTTGGTATACTTCTATATATAAATTGCATGTGATTATTAGCCGTTAGTCAATAGCTATGGTTTTTAATATCTATCAATAGTAATGGTTCTCGACGATTATAATTGGATACAATTATTTATCGAGAGAATCGACAGAAGAATAGTTTTGTGGTGGAATACTAAATTCATAAAATTATTTTCTCATGTTTTTTTCCTAATTGTTATATTTGCCGATCAATGAATCTGCGTTTGTTAAAATATTTATCTAACAATAGTAATCAGCAAAAGTAATTTAACGCAAAATTATAATTACGTAAATGTGTAATTTTTCTGATATTCCACTTGTGTATACGTCGTATGCGCGCGCGCGCGCGTGTGTGTGTGATGCTGGTGTATCATTTTATGGGAACTCACAAATTATTAAGAGTTCTTACTTTCTTTTTAATAGTTCTAGAGCTCCAGATCCGTAAATAGTTCTGTCCATTAAAGCAAGAAAAAATTATAAGGTAAAGTAATATGCCAGGTTCACTATGTCTTAGTTTGTCCTACACGATTTTCGTCATCACATCTTGTGAGGTTTTGCGAGATCTAGTTCAACATAAGTTCTGTTCAGAGTTCTATTGTATAAAAGAAAAAAATTATAGCTAAATGAAGACCAGTGATCATATTGTAAAAAGCTTAACAATTAGAGTCGCTGATTAAAATCTTGAAGTTATGGTCTTTCTAAGAGAATTTTTGTATAGTTCCTAGCATATTTAAACATTTTTTAAACAGTTTTAGGTATTGAAAATATTGCATTATTTAAAAAAAATTAATTTTGTCCAAACACTACGTATTTACATGGTGCGATACTTACTAAAATTTAAGAGTTTTACTTTGCATAAAATATTTCATAAGTAATTCTGAGCATATTTAAGTATTTTCTGAACCTAGTAGCAATATTGCATAAGTAGCAATATTGTATAACTTAAAAGAAGTTTTATTTTGTCCAAGCGTTGAATACTTAAATCAGAGTTGACAAAGTTTCATATTTTTTGGATGAAGTTCATGTCAGTAGTAAAAATCGATTTCCTAGAAAAGACCGACAAAAATTGGCATTTTTTTATTAAAAATGATAAAACAAATATATTATGTAGGGGCGGAAAAATGTAACGAAATCGATATATTATAAACTGTATTTTATGTAGCGCGAGAATCAGAAAGTTCGTACAAATCACAAAAGGACTTCATACATCTACACTGTATGTTCGTAAGAAGAGAGTACGGCTTTCTTATATCCTTTCAAGTAGAGGCTGGACCCTGTTCAAAATCATTTTTTTTGTAGAAGCCATGAATATGAATGTCCAAACGTGGTGAAAAATATAAGATAAAAATGTTCATCTTCCTGTAGATTTTATTAATTTCGTCATGCACTTATACAACGCATATATAACTTATATAACTTAGACGAGTTCTGTGCTAATTAAGAGAGAACGTTTATCAGTTTAAGCATTATCCAAAATAAAATCCGCAATAGATTAGGAATTGATGTAGTAAATAAATTATTTTTACAATATGTTGAATAGTAAACGCGAAACAGATCTATATTGATAAACATTTTTAATTCGATTATTATGTTTATTTCATTGCTTACTATTATACTTTTCTCATTAAAAATTGAAATAAAATTTAGTAGCATATCTTTAAAATTTTTGTTTTAAAAATATATTTTATATATTAATTTGAATTAAAAAGATTTTTTATTATTATATTTTTTTGGTTTCGCCTAATTACATATATTGATTTCTTTTATTTTTTTAATTATAAGTATAATTTATTAATTAAAGCAAAAATATCTTTTTCTGTACAAAGTTGCATAACATATTAGTTATTTTTATAGTTTTTGTTAGTTTATTTTATTGAATAAAGTCCGGAATGATAAAAACCAGAATTTACTGCAATTTTTTCCACCCACTGAATTTTTCCGGCTAATCTTGACTTAAACACAGGGTTGCTACAGAGCTGAGAAATCAGGAAAACTGGGAAAAGTCATAGAATTTAAATTTGTAATGGAAAATCGGGATATCAGGAAAAAACATAAAATAACTTGGAATTTTGGCCTTTCTTTACAATTCTTTGAAATTAAGGTAACTCTCCCTGAGTTATAAGAGAAGAATACGATCTTTAAACACTTGCTAAATCTAGGGTTACTACGGTTACTACGATTTTATTAAAATGCCAAGTTTATTTTAATTTTAACGTTTATATGTATAGTATAGGAATTCACATGTTATTTAAAAAATGAATAAGATTTTCTTACAAGGGAACTTCGCGAACCCGAAAATTCAGACTTTAATGAAACTTTGTATAAATGTAGATTAGGTAAATAGATGAATTTAGATAATTTCAGTTGGTGCTAAAAAACGGTTTGAAACTACCTTTCAAAGATACAGAAATTTTCAATTTTTTTAGTATATTTCGTAAACTAAATGAAATATCAAAAAATATTTTATACAAAAGTTTCATATAAAATTTTTCTCTATTTGACTGTGTTATTCATTTTTCGAAAAAAAAAATATTTTAAAATATTTACCCTTTGTATCCCCTATGTACATTATCAATTGTGTTAAAATTCTGATTTTAATAAAACTTGGCACAAAAATATAGGTTAAATAAAGTCAATAATTTATAAAATTTTATTTGATGCTAAAAGACGCTTTGAAAGGATGAAATCACTCTTCAAGGATACAGAGGCTTTCGATTTTTTCAATATATTTCGTAAACTAATTGAAGTGTCAAACAATTTTTTATACAAAAGTTTTATAGTAAAAATACCTTTATTTAATCATGCCATTCATTTTTTGAAAAAAAAACAATATTTTTAAGAATTTATCCCTTGTTTCCATATGAAAATATATCTTTTAGATTATGTATCAAATTAAGATAAGTCATGTTCTTTTTACGTGTATCCCTATTCATAATTATATTAAAGCATAAGAAAGTTCATTGTTCAATTATTTGGTCTGTTCTTTTCAGCTGCACTACCGAATTGGTGCAATAAGTTAAAGTGAGACAAGTATATGTTTTCTTACTCTAACTTATTGCACCAGTTCAGCAGTTCAGCAGTTCAGCAGTGCAGCTGAGAAGAACAGACCATTATATATAACATTTAATTTTTATCATATTTATAAACTATTTTTTTACGTAACAACTGTATGTGCAATGTAAAAATAATCACATAACTTCTAATTATTATCATTTTGATGTTTGACAATGTATATTGTTTATTTTACGTAACAAATGTGTGTGCAATATAAGAATGGTGTTATATATACATGAAAACCTGTCGAACTCATAATAACCTTCTTATGCTTTAATATAATTATGAATAGGGATACACATAGAATATAACATGACTTAACAATAAACTTATAATATCATAACACAATAGATATACTTTTATATAGAAATAAAGGATGAATTAAAAAAAATATTGTTTCAAAAAATGAGTGGTATATTTAAATAAAAGTATTTTTACTATAAAACCTTGTATTAAAAATTTTTTGACACTTTAGTTTACCAAATATATTGAAAAAATCGAAAGCCTCTGTATCTTTGAAGGGTGGTTTCACCCTTTCAAAGCGTCTTCTAGCATCAAAGTTTTATAAATTAATGATTTTATTTAATCTACATTTTTAAACCAAGTTTGATTAAAATTAGAATTTTAACATGATTGATAATGTATTACATAAGGGGTATAAAGAGTGAATTTTTAAAAATATTTTTTGTTCGAAAAATGAATTTAACAGTTAAAAATATTTTTTGTTCGAAAAATGAATTTAACAGTTAAATAGAGAAAAATTTTCTATGAAACTTTTGTATAAAACAATATTTCATATTTCATTTAGTTTACGATATACAGGGTGTCTTGTCATTACTACATAAGGACGGATTCTTGAGGTAATTTCAATAAAAAAATCCTAATACAAAAATGGCGAGGCTATAATACTTTTCAAATTATAAATGATTAAAGTTGACCAATTATATTGGCTAAAGTACGCGCGCTCAAGTACGGTACAACACATGATGATACAGATGCAAGCTCATGTCGTTCCTTTTCAAAATATTGATACGGAAGTTCTATACATATAACAATATATGTAATAATAATTTGCCTTTTCTATCATTTAAATAAACATATTGCAAATAATAACAATTTTGTCAAAATGTTATGAATAAAATATCACACAATACATTTATGAGAATCAATAAGTTGTCATACATTTGATGTTTCTTTCAGGGATTTACAACTAATTTCATATCTTATGCAAATTCTCACTTATGTGCATGTACCTGTACCATTGTGTGTTGTGCCGTACTTGAGCGCGCGTACTGTACTTTAGCCAATATAATTGGTCAACTTTAATCGTTTATAATTTGAAAAGTATTATATAGCCTCGACATTTTTTCATTAGGATTTTTTTTCTTTAAATTACCTCAGGAATCCGTCCTTACGAGATAATTTAGCGATAGTGGCGGGACATCCTGTATATTGAAAAAATCGAAAATTTCTGTATCTTTGAAGGATAGTTTCACCCTTTCAAGCTGTCTTTTAGTATCAACTGAAATTATTTAAATTCATCTATTTACATAGTCTACATTTGTGCAAAGTTTCATTAAAATCTAAATTTTCGGGTTTGCGAGATTTCCTTGTTAGTTTACACACACACACACACAACACACACAACACACACACACACACACACACACACACACACGCCGCACGCACGCACGCACGCACGCACGCACGCACGCACGCACGCACGCACGCACGCACGCACGCACGCACGCACGCACGCACGCACACGCACACATACACACAGAGGATGTATCACACTCTCCTCCGGGCATTTTGTGGGGACGTAGAACAGGTTGAGGTGAACATAAAAGTCCTATACCGTTTTGCAATA